CGAGGCAGTAGATGCGGTGGGATATCCGGCGGTGAGGGCGGAGGCTTTGCGAGTTAAGTGGGAGATCTGCTGGCCCCACTGCACTCGCAGTTTCCTGGGCTCAGAGCAGATTGCGAGGGACTCGTCTCCATAAAAAAAAAAAAAATTGATAAGATAATCGTTATGGCTGGGTGGGGGGCTGGTTGGCAATCATGCTTGGCGCAATCATCCCCGCATTGGGAGGGGTGCAGGGTGGGATGGATCACAAGGGTCAGGATTTCGCGAGACCAAGCCTGGCCAAGGACTAGTGAACCGGTTCGGTCTCTATTAAAAATACGAAACAAATCCAGCTGACGATGTGGTGGGCGTGTGGGGCTATAGTTCCAGCATGCTCAGAGAGGGTGAGGCAGGAGAATCACTTCACACCTGGGAGGGCGCAGGTTGCGAGTGGAGCGACGGGATCCAGCCACTGGCACTTACCCTGTGCCGGATAGAGCAAGACTCGTGTCTCAAAAAAAACAGGGGTTTAAAAGCAATATTACAGAAAGACACCCACCAGCCTGCTAATCCAGCACTGTTGGGGGGAGCCGAGGCAGGGGAGTCACTGGACGTCAGGAGTTGAGACAGGCTCTGGCCACCCATGGTCTGAAACTCCTGTTCTCTATTAAAAATACCAAAAATTAGCTGGGGTGGGCATGGCTATGCACTAGTGTTTGGCCTGTTGTCAAGTCCATTTGCTATGTTGCGGTGAGAGCGGTTAGGCGTGATTGTGGAGGATAATCGCTGTGACCTGGGGAGCATGAGGTTTTGGCTCAGTGAGTCTGAGTGGATCAGTAGCCTTATCAATCGTCCGAGCGTCTAGGCGGAGCTGGGGGTGGTAAGGGGATACAAGACTTCTTTGGTTTTCAAGTAAAGATGAAGAAAGAAGATGACTGGTGAGACATGAGGGGATGGGAGAAAAGAGAACGGTCGTGAAGAGAGCGTCTTGTTGGTAGATACAGATGTGGAGCATCTGTTGGCTACGTATAGAAGCGTCCTTGAAAGATGCAACTTCGGGTGTGCTGGGGATTATATGGATTATACAGGCAATTAAAG